TTGTTTGTTATTACCGTCCAAAAGTCATTATGCGTACAATAACAAGGGCATGAGGATGTTCGCGTGAGCAGTCTTCCGCCGGCTGATCTCAACAACCACAGCAACAAAACAACAACAACAACGACAACAAAGACCTATACCAACCTCACATCGCTCAAGAAGATCAGTTTATAAGATCACGTAGATAAAATACGTCAACTGTTTATGCCGAGGTTCATAGAAAGTCGGTGTTTTGAATTGTATTTATTCTTCGAAATTCTTTAGGAAAGCTGCCGAGTGCACTGTTCTCTTTTCAATCTTGTTCAAGGTTTAGTTACGTTACAAACTTCATCCTTTATTTCAACTTTATTTTAAACCATCGTCTCTCGTTGTCGTCACTTGGAACTTCGCCATAAAAGGTTCAAGCTCATGTCTTAATTTTTGTCCTTTTTTCTATTTCATAAACCTTTTTTTAATACTTGATGTGGCCTTTACGATTATTTGCTACCCTTTTCCAGCTGTTTTCATTCCTCGTGTATCCAATAAGCAGATGAGAACCGAGATTCTTTGCTTGAGGTAAATACGTCTCTAATGTTTACATGTCACGTCGGAGAATTCACTGACGCTGCTCGTTGAGATTTCATCGCTCCGTCATTCTCCCAGTAATTCCGTCATTATGAACTTTGTCATGTTCTTTGCTTCTACTTGTGCCGTCCGTCGGGCGTCTGATAACGTTTGCCTCCAAGCATGTTTTGTGTAGTAGTTCTCACCGAACACTCATATTTTTCCATGTTCATTACAATCATCCCATGAGTGGGTTCGAACTCTTACTCGTTCTCTTTTAAGTCGTTTAAAATCCTCGTGATCAAATTCATCGCTTTAGTCTTCTGTTCTCGGTCTACGGCTTCCAATGGCTTCGTTATGAAAGAGAGCTAAGAGAGAAAAGAGATAGGAGAAAACCTCTTCAGTATTCATGCATACCGAATTTCCGTCATTTGAACAAAAAACCTCCGTGCTTTTGTGACATTCCACACGGAAAGTTGGTCGCTGGCCATTGATTCGTCCTCTATCACTAAAATCGATTAGTCGTGAATTCAAAGATGAGGAAAACCCGAGTTCTTTCTTCTTCCTTCGTAGCACCAGAGTACTCATGCCTTTTTTTGAAGCCGTTTTGTTTGTCTACTGTAGTTTATTCGAGACTATTGCACTATGTAAAATTTGTTACCTGCAAAATATGCAGCTAATATCGGAACCACTAAGGTTGTTAATGTTTACTCATTTAAATTTTTATGGCACCCCTAAGCAGACTCTTCAATGCTGGACCTGGGCCGGGAAAATCCCCATTTTATATTCAGAAATATGCAAAAGGAACCAATTTTGGAGCCAGTAAATTCGAATTATTTGAGTCTCATAGTGGACGTCTTTTGCTTTCACGCCAAAATTCACAATTTAAAATATTTTTAGGACAGGGAGTCACCGAGGTAACTTCCCTACGCATTTTCGTAGCATGTTAAAGCACCGTGCCTACACAAAGTGCGCCCTGTTCAAGGTGTTTCCATAAAGTGACCTTGTGAACATTACATAGAATTAATTCTTATTAGGGAGCGCATAACACAGTAGTATTGGTGTCCATCATCACGAGCATGGTGCTAGATCGATTTCTATCCGGGCCAACCAAGTCTCTCATCCCTCCGTGGTCGGCAAATTGGTGACGGACTTGTCTGGGAAAAAAATCACTGCAATCCAATTGGGAGCGCCCCACTCCGGGTATCTCAAGAATCCAGGGAGAATTGCTCGACCAGCATCCTACGACATTCAAGATGAAATGGAAATCCTCAAACAGCAACCGAAGACACAGGTAAAAACTTGGAAGACCTTCGTGGACAATGGATGCGAGGAAACGAATCGAATGTGCTGACTCCGAACAGACGTGAAGACAGATCATATAAAATATAATAAAGAATAAATGAGATTCTTATTATGACAAACTTTTTCCGATTTTACAAAAGTCGTATACATAAATTTCCAGTGTTTTCGTAATATCTCCAGGTTTTCTTTCTCGGTTTATGCTTTTACACACGGAATAAACCAGCGCATCCTCACGGTCTTCAGCGTGCAGCACTTCTCGTAGAAAGATTACATTGCAATCATTACAATTCTACTTATAATATCCACGTACAATTTTTACAATTTAGAATTTTTGCGAACAACCTTTTCTTAGTAATTCTTCAAGCAGTTTGAATAAAAATAAATGCTGCATTGACCACACGCGGTTTTCACCTGCGTGGTGTGTGCTTCAGCAGATTTGGCGTTTCGACATACATGCACATACGTAGATATAAACGTGTTAAAACGGCCACCCAAAGTCCTCATTTCTTTGAACACTATCTCCTTGAGGGTTCAGATCCAAGTACATGTCATTTTAATCAAATTCAAGTACTCTGAACTTATTTCCTCTTATTCTATACATTGTCACGACTAGTCCTTGATTTCATCCCTAGCCTTTCCCCTGCATGCGATGTATATGCGAAATGCCCCTTTCCATCTAAAGGGAACTGGGGAATCGTCGTTGTAAGCGTTCTTGCTGGGTTTGTAAAATCTCATTTTTTGTTGAAACGTTCGAGCAGCAGACTGTATCTCTCGCTACACTTTGCTGGACTTGACCAACAAAGGTGTCCCGTATGTTCCGTCTCTAGGCATAACACGGAAAGCAAAAGGTCAGAATTCTTAAGCTTCTCTGTTTCTCCAATAATCTTTTACCAATGGCAAACTTGCGTTTTCTGTTCTTCTATAACAAGACAGAGACCGATGAATATCCTGGTCTCGTCAAAAGTTGTAGGTTCTTCATCGTAGTGCGATCGTTCCCATGAGTATAGAGATGAGGTGGAATGGGTAGGAAAGAATGTGCTACCAAACCCATTACCAATGAATGACAACAATATGGCGCACGAATATTTCGTTTATCATATAAAACAGTTGAAAATCTTATAAAGGATAGGATGACCCTTAGAAAGTCTTAGAAATATTTAGGAAATGCAAACCAGTGAATTTTTTATATGTTCAGCAGTTGTCAATCCTCACAGCTCATTCTTTCCTTGTCTATATCCGTTACACCTTCATCCGCTATACTTTGTATTCTTTGTATACTGGTAGTACAAAGGATATCCCTTCACTTTTGTTGAGCATTCGTTGTATTGGAGCTTAATTCCACTGCCACTGAAGCGGTGCAAACCATGGGAACTTATTTTTCTTTGGACAGTAATTTATCGTCATTTTACCTACAATTTCTGTAGTAATTCAAAATTATCATATTTATTAGAAAGGACATCGAAGAAACACAGAAATCTATTTCGTATATCTCCCAATATCTTAGTAAGAGTGTCGTTAATGTAGCTGGATTGTGGACATGTTTCTTTTCGTCAAACAAGTGCTAAAGGTGTTCCCAAGCCGCTTAGACACCCATGGAAGATTATGAGATACATAAGCAGAAAAGATGGGATATGACAGGACGTTAAAAAAATCGCCGATTCAATCTCCCGAAGGTAGGCGTGCTTAGGCCGGGACGACCCGCTTGTGACTCGTCACACGAACGGCCGAAATTTTAATATAGATATAGATAATATAGATAATATAAATATCTTGCCTCCAGTTCTTCCAGGATCGACAGTTTGCTACCAAGGTTGTCTATTAAACGCTCCTATCGATAAAAAAAGGTTAACGACCGCCTGTGGTGAAGATCTGAGACTGCTCCGGTAAAGCTATCTCAGAATTCCAGGTGTAATCAACTCTATCAGTTCTCAGAGAGATTCAGAAAGAATATAGTTCTCATATGGCAGTCCAACTCAGGGAAAAGTCTGAAGTTTCCCCTTGTTTCTGCCAAAAAAGTAGTAGATACAAGGTGATGAAGGCTTCCCTAGAATTTTACCACTATGATGTCGCCAAAAAGCCAATTCGTTACGTGTAGATCTTACGTAGCTACCAACTTTTTCGCAGTGTTTTCTACTACCAATTCATCAATATAGGCAGTATCATTGGAAGGCTATGGGTCTACGCGTATGGTTGAATCGAGTGCGTCAATTGTTCATATTCTCCGTTGTGGCGTTCGCTTCGAATTTTGAGAACGGATTTTCCACCACCTACTTGAATACACCAGTTGAACAATTCAAAGTTAGTTAATTGTGTGTAGCATGGCTAATGACTACTTTCTTTTTTCTTTTAGAAGGAAATTTTCCAGTGCTTATAATTTTATAGAAAATCGTGGCTCACAAAGAACCCGGAACCTAGCAGCTCCTTGATATAACTTAGCTGCAACAATTTGCTGCTAACTGAGAGTTAGGTTTTTAGTCATAATTCCAGGCTTATCTGAACGAGTCCTACTCGAGAATGGGCAAGACTATGACAAAACCGATCTACGCAATGATGTGGAATTCAATTTTAAACATTTGGTTTGTTGGCTTCTTCATCGGAATCTGGTTCAGTCCGATTCTCAATGACAGATTTGGACGAAAAAGTGAGTGCGAATCGGCAGAATTTCGTTCCTTTCCCGGATCGTCGGCATAAAACTGTTCGTGAGCCGAAATAAAAAAAAATTGTGGTGCACTGTGGAAGATTTTTTTGGCAATAATTACTCGTTCTTTGGGGTGATGGGAAGAAAGACACTACAGACAGCTGGCGAGGTGCTCTTCCGACTTCGTCATTGGGGATTCATCGTATCCCACAGCACAATAGAAAACAGTTTGAGGCGACAAATATTAGAAAAAAGACGAAAACGAAAAACATCTCCTGATATGTATTCTCTCTTTGGTAGGCTTACACGGGATTGTTAAGGTCATCAACCTCGTGCAAGTTGATCAAAAAAAGATTACATATTGATTTGTTATATCGAGATTAATGGAAAGTCGGTTTTGGAACATCTTCTGATACCTTCCTGAAATATTTACATGATGACGAATGGCTGTACCACGTTTGACTTTCTTCTTATTATTGGAATATTACACGGAATAACTTAACAAGGAACCACAGGGCTTTTTTGGTTTCTGAGATTTCAGAAAAGATTGAACACAACCCGTCATGTCAGTTTCTTTGTATTGACAGGTGCCTTCACTCATTTCGATTAAAAAGGATAAGCAAACAGCGAAGAAGACTCGTTTTCTTCACCATGTACGAAAATGACGAAAATGTGTTTTTCAGTGATCGTGACAGTTCCTTGGAGTTCCCACCTTCCTCTACTAAAGAATTTGAAATTTGCCCTTAACAATGACTGAAGTACTTCTATCTCTCGATTTTTATTTCCTCACAGTTCCTTAACATCATTCGTTCAAAGCAATTTGAGCCAATCCCATTTTGAAATCTTCCTGTCTACTACGTCTAGGGTGGATCCACTACATTCTTGCGAATATCATTAGTAATGTCATTGCGAATATCATTTTCTCGAGCGGTATTCTCTGAAGAATGCCTACTGTACATAAACTCTTATTGAAGCTTGGTTAATATGAGACAGCACAACTTTCTGAGATGAAATAAATTGAGAACAGAAATAATAAGCACCATTCACAAAGAATTCTTTTTTTAGTAACCTTCACACTTGAAAAAAGTAATTACTTCTTGAATTTTCTTCCAGTTGGCTTCCTGATCGGCTGCGGAGTGGCACTGTTGGGTGCAATTCTGCGACTTCTCGCCATCTGTCTGTATCGGCCAGAACTTCTTATCGCCGGTAGATTTGTTACGTCGATGTGTGAGGCGATTACCTATCAATCGTGCATCCTCTATCTTCAGGTAAAGTTATTCCTTGCATTTTTATGCTTAGGATAGTAATAGAAAGTACTCGGAGTTCCTGCTAATCCTTCCACTTACAAACCGTTATTTAGTTCATACTTAATTTTATGTTTAGTTTTACGCTGGACATTTTACCAGGTTATACGACAATCTGTGTTGTTGCAAAACATACCCCAGAGCGCACTAAGTTTTTAGCAGAATCAAATCAATCGAACTACGAACCAATGCAGAATGCCCGTATAAGGCTGATTTGGACATCCTAGTTATCACTTTTGTTACGCTTACAACAAGATACTACACCAATAGTTATTCATGCGATGCCGTTGTGATAACGGTCTTTACTAAGACATATCTCAGATGATAGTCGTTACAGAAACTTTAAATTTACTTTATTTCTAGCAGTGCTCCTTACGGGTAGAGTAGCACAGTGATAGTGATGTTCACTGCAAGGACTCCCGAATTTGCCCAAGTGGCGGCTCGACCCAACACGGGTCCACCAATGCTCTGATCCCTCCATGGTTGGAAGTTGCTAGCAGACATGTCTCGGAAAGGCTCACACTGTATAATCCGCTTATGAAAGCGATAGCACGACTATCTCAAGGTACCAAGAAGAATCAACTCGACCAGCATTCAACGACATTCTTCACGAAGACAAAGGTCCTCCAGCGACAGCCAAACCTTAATGCAAAAAAAATTTGAAAACTTTTGTGAATTTTGGATGAGAGGAAACAAGTTGAATGCAGGAAGTAAAGTACTGGGATCTGCACGATATGGTGCATGTGATTTCGGGTTATGTAATAAAAAAATAAAGTAATGCTTGTTTTTATTTCCTAATTACCCAATGGAAAAGATTCTGTTTTCGCTCAACGTACACAATTTTTTCTAGTTCTCGCCCTAGTTTCTTGCTTAATTGGATACTTGGACGGTCCGTCTTTACGAGTGGTGCGGACCCCAGCACGTTTGTCATTCATTTGTTTCCCTCGCAATCGTCGTCCATGGTGGTGGTTTTACTCGAGCATCGTGAGATGTGCGACTCTCATACGTTGATCTGCACTCGATCTGGTTTAATTGCCCAAGCTCGAGCTGACACTTGTTCTAATTGCCCCTCTAGAAATCCTGAAGAGTTAGTTTTTTCCTTAAATTTTTCTCCCTGGCATTGACACATGTGCACAGTTTACACATTGTTGGGTTTTTCAAATTTTAAACGTTAATTATGTACAATATGCTTGCCTTAATTATAGATATCTATGTGGGAAGTGTTATTGACCTTAGTCTCTACACTAAACCATATCGCCGTGTGTTTTTCCAATTTTCTGAGAGTTAATAAACACAAAGTTCTCTTTCTAGGATCATGGACACCGTTTGCGGAGGTTTTTATTCAGATTAAAGTGGAAGACGCACTCAATAGCGCGAAGGGATTTAAACGCTTGCTCATTCGACTGAAAATTAAGCGCTGTTCCATGCGACAGACACCGAAAATGATACATTGCGAGCAATTTGTTAAAGCTGGACAAACAATAACATTTATGAAAACAGTGAGTAGATGGTCACCATTCAGAGATCGTACTTCTTATTCTAAGCATTGGTGAAGCGAATTGTTAAATTCTCAACTTATTACTCACTGCCAACTCTTTTTTAATAACAGGGTATATTGCGGAATACCACTTCAATGGTGCAGAGATATTTGCAAAACTCCGAACCGCAGGTGTCCGCGGTGGGAAACGAACGCGCTATTGTCCTTTTCGGGGAGTAACGCGTTCACCACCACGCCAAGCGAATTCTTCGTTTCGCCTTTCTCTAAACTAGCTGTATCGATCTTTTGCCATCAGCAATCACTCGCCGGCGCGATTGATCTGGGGAGCTTAAACCGGCAACGAACCCAGTTAAGCTGAGGCTGCAGTTATAATCACAATTTTAACTTATTTTTTACTGCCTACTCTTTTTAACAGGTGATTGCTGATAGCAGAACATCGATAGAACTAGCTGAGAGACAGGTGAAACGAAGAACCTGCATGGTGTGGTAGTGAATGCGTTACTCTCCGGAAAGAACAATAGCGCGTTCGTTCCCCACCGCATACACCTGCGGTGAGGGAGTTTTTGCAATTATTTCAGCATCATTGAAGAAAATTTTTGTTAAATCCAAGACAAGAGCATCTATTGTTTATGTTTATATACAACTTGGGACGACTAGTAATCATCTTCTACTTGAAATTCTGCGAAGTATCGCACATTGATTAATTTGCTTACGAGTTACCCTCTTTAAACAAAAAAACGGTTCATAGCTGACTACTTTTTATTATTTGAAGTTTCGAGCTTATAGGAATCTTCACCAACGCATCAACGAGGCACAATGACATTTCTGAGCGAGATCTCGTACTCTTTGATGTGCTTGGTTGGAATGTTGCTAGGCACTCGTCAACTGCTCGGCGACAACCTGGTGGCTTTAATGGCATTTCCCATACCATTCTGTTAGTAGTGCTAATCAGTTTGACTATCACTGCACCTTCATGCAAAATTTTCAGTGAAAACTTTATTCAAAAGTCAGAATAACGATTACGAAGATATTGGTTGACTGCACAGTATAATCATTGTGAACATTGTTTTGGAAATCTAAAAGTTATACAAGGACACAATGTGTTAGCTTTTCATTTCCTGCCTATACCTTTTTCATAGCATGGCATTATGTGGAGCACAACCACTGCAGCTTCAGCTTAAGGTTGGCCAATGCCAAGTTGCGCTTCCCATGTCATTTCCGTTGATGGGGGATTTGTTAATAGCACTGATATGGTAAACGCATCGCCGAGAAGGGCAAAGCACCTACTTCGATTGGGGTGGTGGATAGATCGTGAGCCCCTTTAAAGAGCTGGGAATCCATTTAAGGTTCCAGGTTTTGCTCATATCTCAGCATCGTTGTACTATGCGAAAAGCACGGAATTATGGTGATATATAGTAGAAGTTGTTTAGAAAATATGCTGACAACATATTTAACACAGAAAATTCTCTTGAAGTGAATGAAAAGGCTCCTCACTTGGATAGATAGTCCAACGTAGAATTGATGCTATTAAACTTCTTAGAAATTTTTCTAATAATTCCAATTCAATTCAACTCGTTATTTCGGATTCAGGTACATTTTTCTTCACTGCATTGTTTTTTCTGCCGGAAACGCCGAAATTTCTTCTTATTGCTCGTTCAAATCGGGTAGAAGCCGAGCGCTCCCTTAGGTTCTACCATGGATCGGATTCTGATGTGAATGAGGTCATCAAAGAGATGGTGATGGTTAGTTTTTCCTTCTGTTTTGATTCGTTCCGATCGGCGGGTTCTACACCGATTCGCTAAACGACCGCCCGTTACTTTCGATTATCGTAGAAATGAGCGTGCAAATGTTATAAGGATATCATGTAGCACTTCCCATGATCGAATTTCTATTATCTTCGGAATTGCTCAATAAGTCAGTGTTTTCGAACCAAGATATCGAAGCGAGAATCTAAAACATCGGCGCGTGAAACTCTTAGAACGCTTTGGATTAGTTCTAATAGCCGAAAAATGAACCATATCGATGAGCTTGTTGTTATCACGCCTGCCCTGGCGCCATACCTCAGGCTGATTTTTTGACGTGAACCCGGGACAATCCTAAGCCATGTAAGACTCTATGCGGCCGTCTCCATCAATAGTTTTAGAACTTATTAAAAACAAAACGATGTTAAAAAAAAGGTGTTTAGTAAGCGAATTAAATATATGTATTGAGTTTCTTCTGCATGAATCATTAAAGCGTTTAGCTGAACAGATAGCGTGTCAGCTTAACCTTTCGAAACACCGAGGAAGACGAAACCGTCGAGACGTCAGATAGTTTCGAATAAACCTTGTTATCAACGACCTCGTATCTACTCGAGAGTAGAACGTTGCCTTGTTGCGAACAAGGAAGCCCGATATAGTTTAATTCTCACTTAATTTTCTTTTTTGTTTAAACATTGTTGGAAACTTTTCAAAGCATGGCCGCTGCAGAGGAGATTTGTATTTCCAGTGAAATTAACAGCTCAACTTTCGGTCTTCAAATTCTTTAATTTTTTTTACAGTGATTTTAATATCAGGGTCAGATTTGTGAGAGCTAAATTTTTGGAGGCTGTAATTTTTTCTGTTAACCTGGATTCTCTCCGAGAGCAGAGTAGACAGCAGGGACAAATCGCTAAAATTGCTCATGAGTATCTCCAGTGCTCATAAACCTCGAGGAATAAAACATTCGACATTGATCATTTCTTCGTCATGTGCCATGAAATCAACTCCACTAGACATCGCAGAGGTGATTCAGTTTAAATTTGGCTTACTTTGCAAGGTTTGTTAGGCCTACCGATAAACCAGAACAGCGTTTGTTTCATTTCCAAATAAGTCTAATACTAATTATTAGTCTCCGAAGTGGTGGAAGGTCGCTTGGTATAAAAGAGAGTCGAACCATTTCCCAAATATATATTGCTGACCACTTCTAACTATTGCGCTAGATGTGTGATTATTAATAACTCTAAAAATGTTTTGAAGCCCCGGAATAAATTTTATTAGTTGGCCTATGGTCTTGAATAGTTTAAAATGTAGTGCTTCTAGCTATGAAATAAAGTGCAATCAAGACGTTGGAGTAATCTAATGTTCCAAGGAAGCTGAAGATGAAATGGAGCCGGCTGCTGCATCGTGCGGCTCTGTCAAGGAGATCTTCACCGAGCCGCATTTGAGAAGAGCTGCACTTCTAAGTATCTCCGCTCTGCAGGTAACCGTCGTAAAATATCGACCACACGAAAACATTCTTCCAGTAGCTGGATATTCGTAATCGTCCATGTTTTTGAAACTAAACAATATAGAATATTTTTTAATTTGCATGGTCGATCATGGGAAATAAACCTTCGAAAAAGCAACTAAAGGACCTTGGGTTTTGGTGATGTTTAGCTCACACCCGTTTCCAAACCTTGTGGAATTATTTTTTCCGCCAACAGTTGCATAAACGGCAAAAATAATCAAGAAATTCTTATGAGACAGGCGTTGGTAGCCTTGAACCAATGGAAATGTTTTTCGAACTTCAGAACACTGTGGCATTCTGGTCAATGCTGCTTTCGTCGACGTACTTCCTTGAAAAAATCGGACTTCATCAGGCTGTAGCCTCGTGGTGCAGTACCGCTATGGCCCTGGGCTACATAGTTGGTACTGTGGCAGGTTCAATATGGATTGAAAAGTGGGCTTTTGCTTTCGGAACGCTACTTTTTCCACGAAACGGGTTCATCTTTTAAACACTAAATTTATCCAAGTGTCCAGTCAAAGGTTATACAAAACAATCTTCATAAGTTTCGCTCCTAGGAATTTAAACAGGATTATATAGGACAACGAACGTGGTTTTCGTGAAACAAAAGGAAACGGGACAGTCTCCATCTTAATAGCTAAGTCTTAGGTCGCCCTCGTCTTCTGTTTGAGCTGCTCAAAAAACGATGTGCTAGCTCGAAGGAGATGATCAACACCATATTACGTCTTGATGCCTATTTTTTGACGTAGCTCAGAAGTGCGGTTTCCCTCCTATTTGTGTCTGATACTATACCTCCACCATCTATCGCTCTTGCAAGAACCCGTTCCACATCAATGACCATCAATACTGTGAATAAGGCGATACTGCCCAAACGTCAGCTTTAACCGAATAAAGAATAATGTAACATCTTGTGTCTCCTCAACAGCAATATCGAGAACAGCCAATAATTTTCGATTTAATCGACCTGACACAAGGTTGATATAACAATTTTTACTCGGCTAACGTTTCGGCACCTTCGCCTTCTTAAGAGCAGCGCAGCGCCGATCTGAGTCGATAGTCCTAGGCTGGTCCCTAGAATATAGTGCAAGAAGCACGAGTCTAATGGGAAATTCTGGACGGATGTTGCACTATTGCTTCTATCCAATGTGATTTGCTTTTTGGTAGATAGTGCGTTCTGTAATAGTCGGCATAGTATTTGCTGGTACGGTGCATGACAATGTCTTAGAAATAGGCCTTCACTAAACTTCGATAAGAACAGTCAGTATTATTCTACGTGATTGAGCTGAAGAAGGCAGAGACGCTGAAGCGTAAGCAGAAGGCTTTTAAACCAATCTCGTGTCGATTCAGCCATATAGAAAATTATGCTCGAAAAGCAAAAAAAGATGCATAAAACAGCACAGAGTAAACCTAGAAAGTTAAAAAATTGAGTTTGAAATTGAAATACGTGAAAATCCAGTTGAAGAACTCAGGTCGCAGTCGTATTTTGATGGGGTAGGTGTTTCAGACCGCTTGCATCGAATTCTATGCATATCCTTGATTGAATAAATTTAAGTATAGTTTCATAGAGCCGCCAAAAAACAGTAGGCGTAGTCCTCAGCGGCAGTGCTCGTATTGTCTCTTCTGATATTTCAACATGCCGTTGAACGTGAAGCAATCGGGTTACGTTCAGGCTCGGTCGTCGCACCATTCTGCTTTCTTTCACCGTCGTCGATAACGTGCTACTGGTGTTGTATGTGGTGTGCTCTGAACTCGGTCCAGTTGTGGAATCGTTCAAATTCGGCTGTCTTGGGCTACTCATCAGTTACGCTTTCGTCTATGGGTGAGTAGCGCTACTTTCACCTGAGATCCATTTTTTGAGCATAAATGTTAGGTCATCTGCTCCATTGACCACCTAAATTCGATGAAGTACTTAGTGCAAAAAATAAGCACAAATCACTAAGACTAAATAAACACGGTTCAATTAGTCGAATTAGTGTGCAATCTCCGCGCTGAAGTAATTTCTTCTCTTAGCCGATTTGCATGGGAAATATAACCATATTTATCATAGGTGTTTCTTTTGTACGCAGCCAAATCGCTGTTGTATCAAATATACGAATCGGCCAAACCACAGAAGTCTGTCGAAGACGGTAGACACTCTGAGCTCACTAGTTATATGAAATAGCGGAATAATTTTTTGTATTATCAAAAATGGGCGCGTGCGGTGCAGTGCTTGGAGGCGCCCTGCAACACACACGTGGAACCCATCCCGACGCCTCTGGCCCATCAAGCCATCCATCTCTCCGGGATCGGCAAATTGGTACCAGACTTGTCTGGGAGGATAGGAGCATTGGCTCGATACATTGATGGGCCACCGAGAGTCATTGTAAAGGCCAAATATGTATCCAATCACATCTAAACGCCATTATTTCTTTTGTCATCAAAAATGCTTCGCTTTTTTCTTGAGTAGTTCCAAATCTGTCATTTATAGTAAGCATATCCTACATTTTTAAGCAGCGATTTTTTTGATTCGTTCATCCGAACCTAAAACATTTGCGAAAAAATACCTCTACAGGATAATTGTAAACCCGCTTTCATTCAACGTGCTAGGATAACGTGCTCGACGTTGATTAATACTTGAGGGATGCGCCGTACATCGCCCTTAATCTCAAATCAGAGGAGATTGGACGCATATCTGGCTTTTACAGTGACCTGCGGTATACAGTATTAATGATCAATGTGCCTTGCTTCGTTGTTAAGCTAACACTTGATTGTTACCAAATATTTGTTTGGCTAACACTTCGACTTTCGTCTTCATCGTAGCCAGTGATCAGAGTCGATGTCCACAGCCATTCACGCTCTTGATGTGGTGTACCAAGTCGGATGCTTCTCAGTAGAATACCGCTCGAATGAGGCAACAGCATGGAACGATGCTCTCTAACAAATTGTTATCAACGGATAGTCATTATCAAGAACACCCAAGCTGTACAAAACAGTAGTGCTGGTTCAGGCTGCCTCATTCGTGCAATGATGCACTGAAGAAGATACGATTCGATACGACGACGAAGAAAATCGAATGACGGTGGACCATCGACTCTCATCTGTTCTGATGAAGACGAAGGCGTCGAAACGTTAGCCGAGTAAATATTCGGTAAAAACTTTGTGTTAGCTTATCAATGAAACAAGATACGTTGATTATTCTACGAGATAGTTTCAGTTCGCAGAGCAACAATAAAATTCTGTGATTGCCACGACTTTCTATTAACCTCGGCATTGATCAAGTGATTTTCTTCGTATTTTTGTTGAGCAAACGCGATGTGTTACTATTCTTTGTTCACGATTAAGCTGACGTTTCGGCGGATTTCGCCTTCCTCAGAGCCGCTTTCTATGAGGTTTCCACTAAGTATGTCACGTAGAGACCAACCGCACAGAAATCACGTGGAAGTATAATATACTATAATAATACTATAATATTAATATATTAATATATTAATATATTATAATAATATAATATGCTATAATAATACTATAATATTATGAGGTGGAAACCTCATAGAAAGCGGCTCTAAAGAAGGCGAAATCCGCCGAAACGTCAGCTTAATCGTGAACAAAGAATAGTAACACCTCGCGTTTGCTCAACAAAAATACGAAGAAAATTCTGTGAGAAACTTCTAGGAAAAGCTTCGCAGCAACGCCGTAGGGGCGGCTTTTTTCAGAAGCGGTGTCGGTCCGATTTCGTGGTTTATCTCATCGGAACTAGTGCCGCAAAAATATCGCAGTTTGATGCAGTCCATCAGCTACGCTGTGAACACTGTGATCGTGGTCGTGCTCAGCTTCTCCGTCCTTCCGCTTTACGGTGTTATCGGATCATATGCATTCCTTATCCTCTACACTGTTCCGTCAACAGGAGCCATTGTCATTCTCTATAAGTGTTTACCGGAGACCAAAGGCAGAGAAATACACGAGATTGTTGCTGAATTACGAGGAAAGACGAAGTCAAGTTGAGCCGCTTTCGAGTGATCAACTGCAGAACATACAAATGTCGAAAATGCTTCCAACGGCTGACAACTAGAGCTTTCAAATGATCAAACAATTTTTGAATGGAAGAATTTATTGGGATAAAGCCTATTCAATTTCGTGCTCTTTTTCAGAAATTGTGTTTAAGCATATAATGTTGATTCCCATGATCAAAATTCGTAATGTGTTTTAGCACACACCAGTTCGATAGGTTACCTGATTAATCATTCATGAATCATGTCATCCAGTCATCGGTCATCAATCAGTTCGTCTGATCAATCAATCCGTGAAACGATAGCCAATTGACCTCGAATAAAAGTGAGCTGCTCAAAGCGTGCGACTAACTGCGCCATGTCAAGGAGTTTGGCCTCGAGTGTAATAAACTTCATTTGTGATTGATTCATTAAAGTGTTCTAGGGTAGATAAATGCGTTTTCAGAAAAACTTGACTCAAGGATGCAAATGCTGTGAGACGGCCTAACGTTTTTGTTAAATGTTAGTGTCACGAATATCGTACTCCAACAGATGTGGTTTGCATCCTATCCATCTATGAGGTGACTTGAGATAGAAAACTCTCTTCGGCTCTTGTGGTTAAAAAAGGTTCCTTGGTCTCTGAATAAGTAAATGACACCAGAATGCCTTCTAGGAAATAGTGTTTTCCGCATGCGTTTGACTTGGCTCTTGTGCATTTTGTCCTATCTGTCCTCTTGCTCACCATGCCTGTTCAGTGCACCCTAGAAGCTCCTCACGTGGGCTGCTGTGCATATCAAGCACTTTGGATGATGCGTAATCAGTTGAGGAAGCACAATTCCGACCGGAAATCCTTTGCATGGACTATGTCAAAGCTATTTTCAGGAAAATAGAAGTTTATCAGGAATACTTGCTTTCCCTTGTCCTGACTTTCTTCAAATATGAAAAAGACTTCGCCAGCGTTGAAACGAATGCAGTCCTACCAGGCCTCGTAGACCCATCCGACATGAGAACTCCACCAGCGTTATCGAAACTGTACTACAAAAATATAGTTTCTCCATAGACCCCTGACTCCTAGGAAAAGAGGTTGGACAAAGCAGCGTGTACCGCAAAGGCTGTTCACTCTCACATTGCAATGGACAATGAACTCACTCGAATTGAACGAGAAAAGCGTACGAAATGATGAATAATTCCTATGCAATCTCCGCTTCGTCTATGAAATTGTCATCTTTTCAAGAAATACTAACGATTCAGAGAGGAAACGACGATCAGCGAGCATAACGAACTTGGACAAAAAATTGGGTCATTAGATTCATTCAATTTGATAAGAGTACAATCAGCGCGAACACGTACCACTACGGAGCATCGATTCGGATCAAGCGGTACGAAGACATCGAAACGTTATTTGAACAAAGAATTTATATAATAACCTCATGAAAGTTTATCAACGATAAACTAGGTTGGACTACGCCTAAATCCGAAGACGCAATTCATGAAAAACTTGTGCGAAAGTGAACAGATCGAGCCAAATGCCTCTGTGATTATAGTGACCACCTCATATGTGTGCACTGAATATTCAATAGACATACAAAACGATATTAAGAAGGAATTAGACAAAAGAAGGACAGCATCAAGTGCCATAGTGCGCTGCATCAAGTGCCTTCGAAAGAGCTGGGAACCAACTAACCGATTCAATAATTCCCGTTCATCTCTTCGATTCAATATTGCTCTATTATGCAGCAGGCATGTTGATTTATCCTTCAGGTAGGTCGCAAGTTCTGTACACCAGCACTTGAAGCAAGTCATCTGAAACGTAACTAGGAGAACATCATCTAGCTGGAGTGCCAAACACAGATGTTCAAAGTATGTCCCATGTTCCTGACCTAGAAGAAGAACATCGTCAGCAAAACACAGGTGGGCCTGCCACACAATAATAATAAGAACAGACGACAGATAGATTAAAAAACTGTTGGGTGGACTCCATTAAGATGAAATCGTCCCTTGGGACGACCACAATAGGTGGACATGTTTTGTAACTAACCTCATTCGGCTGTGTTCGTAGGTGCAGATGTCTCATCGACCTGAGCACTAGATTCCACCACTCTGAAGGCGGACCAGCACTTCAAGGAGTAATTGCTTCAACTAATTCCTAGGGGAATTTGCCCTGAGCTGCACAGAATTCTCTTCTTTAAAACATTGCTTTTCCCTTATACATGTAAAGTATCCTAGATATGAAGGGATACATTCGGAATAGTACCACAGACCTCTCTTCAATTGTTTTCAAGTCCTCCTTGTCATCGTGATGACTCGAATGACTTGACGTCGCATACTATCAGCTCTTCTTTCATTCGATTCGACAGACTTCAGATTTGCATGTGGGTTTGCCTGCCATTTAAGAATCCTTATCCAACGTCATACAGATTGAGCGTTTGAATCTTCTTACTGAAGCTCACTTGTTTCTAATTTTGTTTAAGGCTATCACATCGTACTTGGTAATGTCAACGATATCTAGAAGAAAGTAAAGGCAGTGTTCTAAAGGGACTAATCTGTTTTTGTATATATAGGGTCAGAAGTATTCTTCATAGCACTGTTTGCGTACTTGGCCCTCTTCAGACCTATTGATATTTTCGGATTTTCAAAGTCTTCGGATTTGCATTTAGGTTCCGTTGCTCCTGCTGGAGGATATTTGGAGTTATTCATGAATTTCGTTGATTGACAATCAAGTGGGTTTCACAATGAACAAATCCCTAGCTTTTACGAATCGGAAGGCAGTTTTCGCACAAAAATCTGGTATATATTCGCAAACCCGCAGGGTTGTGAGCTCTGGTTAGCTTCAAGCAGTGCCTAACCAAGGCGTTGAACGTCATAAACAGCAGTCTTACCGTTGTTTCACCCACGTTCAACTTTGTCGTTCTCACGTTTTTTAAACAAATTAGGATACAACCACAAGAAAATTAGAATTGGAATAGGAGTAACTGTTGACTATTGCTATAGTTGTCACCATCGTGTCGACGACAATAGTATTAATTGTGCCAGACATTATACCGACTTAACGTTCGCTCATCGCGGTAGCTGAAGAGTTCAATCATGACTGATTCTGATGAATACTATGTTCACAAAGAACTAATTCCTTTGATCTCCTATTCAAACTCAATAGAACAACCATAAAAAACTTTAAAAAATGGCGAATGAAAGATGACAAAATGACAAACTCAATCAAATGAACATATCAACATTTGAGTTGGAAAACCAGAAATGATATGAACGAAATGGGACTGCAGTTGAAATGCTATCAAGTGGATAGTGTCGACAGTAAACACTCACCACTGAAATCATAGATCAATTTGGATTTCAAAAAGTTGACGAGCCAAAGTCAACGGTGGAGGACCAAAGGGGTCGACGATCAGAAGTTCTAAATGCGCAGAGCATTTGAACGAGAACTGCTGGTATCTGTGTAGTGTGGAACCACTGCATAAGAATGGCGAACGTCGCTTTTGTTTTTCGACTGCGAAAAATATACTGAATAGCTGTGAAAATTAGAAGCTATTAAGCAAGAAGCGATAAAAGGGAACAAAAGCAAAAAAAAGTTTAACATTTTCAGCCAGGCATGAATCATATATGAGTCGTAGGAGGCTGAGTAATGTTTTGTTTATACAAGCATATCTGAGTCCATTGGAAATATTTTCACATGAAATGAAAGTTGTTACAATCCACTTATCTTTGCAAGGAAGCTCCAGTTTCAAATTTTTAACTTTTATTTGCTGTCTATTCTTCCTTTTATGGAAGGGTGGTGTGAAGTGCAGCAATAAGGACGCTGAAATATGAGCAAAAACTCGGAACCTCACTTGGCCTTCAAACTCGCGATTAACCTTATCGGAGGCTCAACTGCTACCAAGCAAGGCCTTTGCTTAAGGCAAAGCAAGGTCGGCGGTCGGTGCATTGGGTAACACATAAGCTCTCGAAAAGGGTAATCAAGAGTTCAAAGCGTACCTGTGGTCTCAAGTCTTGTTAATAACAAACACTTAATCGGATTCTACTATAAGAGTCGGACGAGTGAGGCTCGAGTAAATAGGAAAACATAGCATTTTTCCAATGGACGGTAATACTTTTATGTAACTTCTGCTGGGTGTAGTTATTGAAGACGGAATTGAAGTTATTGCATAAAATATTAGCTCTAGAGTGCAGCCAAGTCAGTACAAAATACAACTGATTTGAAGCCTACGATGAATGCGAAGAAGAACACAGAAGGTTTGTCGGATGAGAGTAAAACGCCTTCACCAAAAATGGTTAATCACTGTGAGGTTGTAGATTAAAAGAATTAAAATTACGAATGCTCATGAGAAATGGCAGAGAACATTCCTTGTATCGCACAGGACGTTTCATACAGGATTGCCTTCGGGTTGAAAATGAGAATGAATGGTGTGCTGACTATCTCGACACGCCAGTTCATTTCTGTTTCATCAATTCAGCCAGTTGAACTAAATGATTAGTCCTGAAGTCACTGGACACTTACTCCTGTTTTTCAACAAGACTGGCTTGCACAGTCAGTCAAAAATTGGCAGGGAACTCGAGCATAGGCTGCAATTGCTGCCCAAATTTTAGGCTTTTTGAAAACTAATACCAGACTTGTAATGTCATTCTCCTCTTATCTGCCTAAGGAACAATGTATAACTTTTTACTTACTACCTATCTGTTTTCATGGAAGGGTTTTCTGTGAAATACAACTACAGTGATGCTGAAGATATGACCATAATGATGCTGGAATTTGCAAAACTCTGGACCGCTGGGGTCTGCGGTGGATTCCAAACACGCTATTACCCTTTCCGAGAGCTAACGCATTCACCACCACACCATGTGAGTCCCTCACGTAGCCCGTCTCTCAGCCGTGTTATTGCCCTGTGGGTGTTATCAACAATCACCTTTCAACGGGATTGATCTGGAGACAAATCGGCATCGAACCCAGTTAAGCTGAGGCTGTGATGAAATCACAATATCATCACTTCTTATTATGACACTGCA